CTGTTACATTATTTGACAAGGACATGAGATTATGACGACTATTAGTGCATGCAAAGTTTAAACCGAATCAGACAAATAGTTGCGGAGATAAAGGGCTTTAAAAGATGCAAGGTTAGGGCGCCCTCACATGACAACCACAGAAGTGATACTGTCGCCACCGATATTTTCACATTAACACTTCCCAAAATGAGGGCATTCAAAGTTTCAACGCAATGGGACCCATGCTTACAAAGATATGGGGCTGCAAATGATGCTATGTTAGGGCGCCCTCACATGACGACCGATGACGTCACCTTGACTTAACCTATATTCTGGTGTATAACGGATTCAAGTTTGTGTGAATGCAAAGCTTCAACCAAATCGGATGCATACTCGTAGGGATATGGAAATTATGCAAAGTTAGGGCGCCCTCACATGACAGCTAATGACGTCGCGATGACGTCACCTATATTGCCACACGAAACACACCCCAATGTGAGGGCATGCAAAGTTTCAACGCAATCGGACCCATACTTGCAAAGTTACAGGTCTGCAACAAATGCAAAGTAAGGGCGCCCTCACATGACACCTGATGACGTCAACATGACGAAAACCTTATAGGACCATCTGCGGTTGGTGATATGCGTGTCTGCCAAGTCTGAAGTCAATCAGATTTATGAAAGTGCCACAATGTACTGATTGAAGGAAAACGTGTACAAAACCTATGGAGTAAAAATGCACCTTTAATGTTACGTAACCTGACACTTGATGATGTCACGATCACGAATTTCGTCTAGGACCATCTGTGGGTGGTGGTCTAAGTATGAATTAAGTTCAAAGTCGATCGGATTTACGAAGATGCAAACTGGAGTGTTTTAAAACGTGTACAAAACATATGGGGAAATATGCATCTTTAATGTGACGTAACCTGACACCTGATGACGTCACGATCACGAATTTCTTCAAGGACCATCTGTGGGTGGTGGTCTAAGTATGTACCAAGTCTGAAATCAATCGGATTTTAAAAAGTGGCAAAGTGGACTGGTGGAAGAAACGTGTGTTAAACCTATGGAGAAAAAGTCTGAAAAAGGAGAAGAAAAAAAAAGAAAAAAAAAATCTTAACGAAAACAAGAGCTGTTTCGGTGTGTCACCGAAACAGCTAAAAAAAATCTTAACGAAAACAAGAGCTGTTTCGGTGTGTCACCGAAACAGCTAAAAAAAGAAGAAAAAAAGAAAAAAAAAAATCTTAACGAAAACAAGAGCTGTTTCGGTGTGTCACCGAAACAGCTAATTATGGCTTATTCATTTTTTTTTGATCACCTTCTTTTGGTCTCGGCAGTGCTTTTTTTTCTATAAATCTTCTTCGCTCTCTAGTAACTGGTTACAAAATTAGCTGTCAACAAGGATGGCCTTTGCCTGAAGTCGACGACAGGCGAAACAGTTTTAGTTAGGGGATACATTTTATTATTAATGTTTTTTAATTTAATTGTTTGGTGCACAGATTATTCGGATTAGACGCGCATGATATTTCATGTATTTTTTAAAATAAATTTTATTGTATTTTTTAAAGTAAATAAAGTAATGTAAACTGTAATATTGCCTGAAATTGAATAAAATATTGGATGAAAATCGAATTTTTGATAAACTGGCAATGTATTTTCATGCCAAAGACACACATAGTTACTTCGTGAATGGTCTTCTAGTGATACCTGACCCTCAAAACATGGGTTTAGACACCTTACTTGTGTAGTTATGTGCAATATTGGCCGAGATATTGGCAAAAAATCCAATTTCTGATAAATCGACACTTTAGAATTTACAAATTTTCATGCCAAAGACACACATAATTACTTCGTGAATGGTCTTCTAATGATACTTGGCCCTCAAAACATGGGTTTAGACACCTTACTTGTGTAGTTATGTGCTATATTGGCCGAGATATGCCAAAAACATGATTTTTCTGGTATTAGCGGCACTAACTTGCATATTCCTATGCCGCAGACACATGTGGTCACTTCCAGAATAGTATTATTGTGATCTCTGACCTTGAAAGCATGGGTTTAGACACCTAATTCGTTCAGTTATCTGCAATATTAGCTGAGATATAGTGAAAAATAGATTTTTCGGTAATGGCGGCACTAATTTGCATAAATCTATACGTGGGACATTTTTTTTATTTTTTTAACATAGCTGTTTGTAACAGAATTGTTTTCTAGCAATTTTTTCTGACCTAGAGACGTTGATTAGAAATTGATTTCCGAGGGTGCACGATACCCCCTTTTCCGACTGAACTAATTCGGAAAGAAAGTAATTAGAGCTTTGGGAATGCATTTAGGTTTCTGATAGTTTGAATATTTGACCAGAGAATTATTTCTAGTGCGTGCCGAACGAAGGAAAAGTTCGTCAAGTTCACGCCCGAAGCGCCGCCGCCTTGCGGTCTCTACGTCTTAGCGCCCTCTGTAGTTTAAATATAGCAGTCTGTCACTGCATGCGCTGGGTAAGATCCAACTCGGACCCAAACCAACTTGGACCCATGCTAACTCGGACCCACCACCAACTCGGACCCACTACCAACTCGGACCCAATCATGACCAACTCGGACCCATCGTGAGGACATACGTTTTCAATCATTCGATTACATTTATTTCATTTACATTTATTTCATTTTTCGGGATACATTTGTTACAACAAACAACAAAATTAAATACTCAGAAATACACATGAACATTTCAGACAAAACATACACAGTATAATGTTTAACCAGCTCCCGCTGGATTACCCAAAGGAAACATGGTTTCTGTCGAGGGGCTCTCCGACTGATTAAACAGGACACACTAAAAACAATGTTGATAAATTATAACTACGTAAAACTTTAAAGAAATAAAACAATTAAACAAGTCCTTAAATGAATAAAACTATGAACGAATAAAACAAAACACTGCATTGTGTTTTAAATTGCTATGTATACAGTAAATAAGTAAACATAATAAAATGAGTACAGGCATAAAATGGGCTACTTAAGAATAAATAAATGAATAAATAGATAATAGTGAAATCAAGCGATCAAACAAACAAACAAACAAACACCCCAACACCCCAACACCCCAACAAAAACATACAAACAATCAAAAACCAACAAAACCAACATTTAAACACCCCAACACCCAGACAAACAAACAAACACCCCAACAATCCAACAAACAAAAAATGCTTGGCAAAAATCATTGACAACGATAAAGACCTATATTGATTAAGTAGCTTCATTTGTTTTTATTAAAAATCTATTTATTGCAACATCGTTCACGCCAGACTTTTCTCAATAACAATTTAATTTCAGATTAATCCAAACTATAAATAAACATACCGTAACGAAAACGCAAATAATATAGCACATATGAAATATATACACACTTCCAAACAAGTCATGTACCAAAAGTAGAATTAGGCATATTATGAAATAAAATAACATTAAAGTAAATGAAATTTAAAGTACACTTTAAAAGTGTAACTTCTAAGCTTTAATTACACAAAGAAATCTCACATGAATAATGAATTAAAACAAACTAACACACTTTTACCCCCCCCCCCAAAAAAATTGAAAAATTTGCAAATCATATTCCATCATTTGCAGTCCATTTTTTGCAGCCATCCGAAAAGTAACTGGCGTAATTATTGTTGAAAAACAAACTTGGTTGAAAGATAGTAAGGGAACTAAACTCCCTGTGAAATTATTTTTTTCTGGGAAGCTGTCATTTTGAAGTAATCAACGAAAGAAGGCCTTTCCAACGGTGCGTCTTAAGACGCACCGTAGGAAAATTTAAATTAGTAGTTCGTTTTGTTATTCGGCGAAGCGCGCGCAAGCATTGGCACAACGCACACGCGCGCGCGGTTGCTATAATTCGTCGGATCAGTGCGCGACGTCGCGCATAGCTGCAACTCAAAACAATTCAAAACATGATTCCAGTAACTTTTGATTTGAAATTGAGATTCTAGAATGCTGTTTTTCTCGGAATATACAGCTGAAGCTTAGCTGAAACTTCATCAGGTTAGTTGTTCAGTATCCTTCATTAGATTTTGAACACTTTTGTTGCTTCAAACGAACAAAATGCACAAATTACAAATGACATGAATGATGGATTTATCTTTAAGTGACACATGTTGTTTCTTTTTTCTTTTTTTTTGCCTCTGAAGCTCGAAGTACTTGCTAAGGGTATTAGGCCGCTCTAATTTTTTGATAAATCATAAGAGTATGAAGTACCAAACAATAATTATTCAGTCATTGTAAGGTCCGAGTTGGTAATGAGTCGAAGTTGGCATAGATCCGAATTGTCAGTGGGTCCGAGTTGGTAGCGGGTACGGTACGAGTTGGCGTGGGTCCGAGTCGGCGAGGATCCGAGTTGGCATGGATCCGAGCTGGTTTGGGTCCGAGTTGACCTGATGCGGTTTCTTGCGGTTTCTTGCGGTTTCTTCGCAAGATCTTCAATCTAGGTGACCGTTTTAGCCGATTTTCGGCTAACTTTGACAGATTTTCTGTAAAAAAACAAACAAAAAAACCGAGTTTGACAGGGAATTTGACAGAATAGATATTTTTGGCAGATTTCTGGCAGAATTCTTCAAAAATGAATACTTGACAACAAAAAAATAGCAAATTAAAAAAAGGAATGGTAGGCCTACAGTTGTTTAAAAAAGCTTCACTCTTTTTCAAACAAACCCTTGCAAAATTAGACAGATTGCCTGGGTAGGTGCTGTGACACAACCGCTTTTTTCCCTGAAATTTACGCAATTTCATAACATCTTTAATGTAACTATAGATTGTTTGTAATGTAATTCGAACCTTAATTAAGGCAATATTACAACATCTGCACGTGATTTCAAGTGTTTATAGTGTAGGCCTACTTCGAGTAATTCTGGGGAATTTGGCAGATTTTTGATAAATCTGACAGATTTCTGAAGCGCATTTAGCAGAATTTGGCCATGATGTTACGGTCACCCTGTACTAACCAAAGGGTACTGACATTCGAAGTTGTATTTCACACACAGCACAGGCCGTCCGGAGCGCGCGGGGCTAGCTGTCGATCGATCGGCCCTTGCGTAAAAATTCGCTTCGGAATTCTACTAATTTGGCGGCGTAGGTAAGATCTTTCTCCTTTTTTTCATAACTGTTTCTTTTCCTAACTAAATGTTGATACTGCTGTTAGCAGATCAAAAAATTGTGTGCCATTAGCACTAGCACTAGCAGGTGAAACATGCTAAGCAGAATTTGACAATCATTTGACATAATTGACAATGACATGTTTGATTTTGTTATGTTCATGATGTTTGTTTTCTGATACTGCCGTGTGTGGTGCAAGTATTGACTCACAATCACTGGTACACCCCAAGCAATTATGAAGTGTTTGTTTAGCCATGAACAGGTCTCACATTTTGTCCGTTCTTAAATTAATTAACTCAACAGAGCATAGGCCTAATCATTTGCAGGTATACGTGCATTGGTGTTACATTTGTGTGTAACAATGCGCGCGCGTATGCAAGCGTTACCTTTGCAGGATAGACTTTTCCGGCAGCAGCCATTTTATGCGGTGGCGCAAGTGTCGCGCGAGTCGCACTCAGGTTGGGGGCACACGCTTCAGGTTCCTTTGACCAATAAGAACTTTCGTGTACGCCTCGTCTTTAAGAACGCATGCAGCATGCGCGTGAGGGTGACACCACCGCAGTAAAAGCTTCTAATTCTGGTGGCCGGAATCCACTATACGAATAGGCCCACACTAAATTACCATTTCTCGTCGAGCGAATACCTGGCCGAGTGGATAGCAGGCCTGCCTCACAAACAACGCCAGTTCGAGTCCCTGCGTGACCGATGTTTTTGAAACTTTATTTTTTGTGTCGCAAAAAAGAAGAGTTGTCTTCTTTTATTGTTTTAAATATAGGCCTAACACCCTCATGCGTATTTATGTATACGAGTAAGCCTTTGTCATATTATTTTTTTACCATTTCTGGTCGAGCGAACTCCTGACCTAGTGGACAGCTTGCAGGCCTTACGCAACGCCACTCCAGGTCCCGTCCCAGCGTGACTGACGTTTAGGAAACTATTTTTGTGTCCTAAAAAAAATAGATTTGTCTTCTTTAATTGTTTTCAATTGAATCCTACATTTAATCTTCTTTTTGTGATTCGTTGCTCTGGAGGTTTTGTATAATTAAAGGGAAATATAGTCAATAATATACAAAATTTTAATTGTGCATCTATTTCCCATCTCTTTAACACAAAGTCACGACGACTTTCTGAACATCATTTGTTCCTTTCTGAACATCAAGCTGAAATGTACTGAGGAGAAGTTAACTCAAAAGCAGAATCTTTCTAAAGAAAATTAATAAAAACTGGACATTTGCATAAATTTGTTGATTTACAAACGCAGGGTGATTGGGAAGACAACTTTTTCAGTGGACATTGCCTAGAGAAATAGTTGAATATTTTTATGTCAGAGAACAGAAAAAAAAGAGAATCAAGAAATTTAGCCTATAGATTCTAATGGATCCATTTGTTTTCATTTGAAAAACAAAAGCCTCCCTTGGGGTTTGATAAATTTGAGTATGTTTTATTTACACGTACACATTATTCCCGGTTTATGTCATCAGTAAAAAATGTGCAAACATATCTATTTCATTCAGAGAGGACACAATATCATGAAGTGACAAGAACATCTGAAAATCTGAAATGTACAAGTGTGTGTACTGATAAGACCTAATAATAATAATTGTGCTTATATAGCGCTTTCAACAATCTCAAAGCGCTTTACAATCATTACCCCGTTCATCAGGCCATGGGCCACGCGGCAGCCGATATCAGTGCTCAATCAGTCCTCGACCCTCACAGGTACCCATTTATACTCCTGGGTGGAGAGAGGCAATTATAGTTTAGTGTCTTGCCCAAGGGCACAAACACCATGTTCCTGGCCGGGTTCGAACCCACGTACCTTTGTAAAAGAGTCAAACACCATAACCACTGGACCATGGCGTTCTACTTCTGGTTTGATGACATTAGGAAGCCCAGGGTCAACATTGTACCTGATATCTTTAGTTGTGTCACGGACATCGCCACTGGATATGGATTAAATGATGAATTCAATTAAAAACAAAAATTTGATGATTCAAATTCTTGCCGGTTTGATGACGTCATGATCCTGAAACCTCGCAAATTTGTTTGCAGTTGTCCAAAGAATATCTGTGGTCAATTTAGTAAATTTTTTACGAATGGTTTTTAAAATGAAAGCGGGAACTTTGGGAAATTTTGTTTGGTCTAAAAATTTCCTTTGGAAATTCCTTGCAAACTTGAGATCTAGGAATGCTCAACTTTTGCCATAATGCACATTTCCATAATACACATTTTCCATGATGCACATTTTGTAAGTTCACGGAGCCCCATTAAATTTTACAGGTGTAAACAGTGGGGGTTTCAGGTGGGGGAGTGTGGCCTAGTGGTTAGGGTATGTGAGTCATGATCGGAGGGTCAGGGGTTCAAATCCAGCTGCTGGTCATATGTTGTGTCCTTGGGCAAGCCACTTCACCTCCATTTGCCTCTCTCCACCGAGGAGTATAAATGGGTACCAGCATTAGCTGGGGAATAACCTGCAATGGACTAGCATCCCAGCCAGGGGAACAGACATTTTGTATTCTCAGTTGTTGCATGCCACTGAAACCGGAGATAAACGCCGGCATGTTAACTTTCACGAATGCCTGTTTTGATTCCAGGGAAGATCTGGCCGCCATGGAGCAGCACAGTGAGGTGGTCTTCTCCCTGACGGCTGAGGAGACAAAACAACTGAAAGATGGAGTTAACCTCGTCAACCGATCTGAGAAGGAGAGGCTCATCATCTTCAAGGACCCCACGGCAGAGAACACAGAGGAGGAGCCAGCCACAGCCCACATGTACAAGGCGTGCCTGAACAGGTGTAAACACCAAGGGGGAACGTTTATCAAGGATATTGAGGATGGGGACAATTGGTGAGTTTTGCTATTGTAGATAATAATTTGACATAGGAGTTAGTGATGAAGTGCAGTTTTTAAGCAACGGTGGACACAAACGGTACAGGAAACTGGCCAACACTGTCCGTATATCGTGCGGTATACTATCAGCGTACGTGACTGCACTGTGTAGCGGGCAACGAACCACATGCCGCGGCAGGAAAATTTAGGGAAACACGCTGCGCTGTATCGCATCAAGTACGAGTTGTACAACCTCGAAATATCTTCATGAAAAATTGAAAATATATACTACACCATAAAGAGAGATAAAGTTCTGTGAATTAACTTGCAGAAATCTTCTTTCTTAATCAATATTTACTTGGCATTTTTAAGATGTCAAATTCGACCTGTTCGTGTTACGCTATGTTGGTCATAGACTGGTTGCCAAGGGCCGATCCCGAACATATTTTTTTTGGGGGGGGCCAACAAAAATTTTGGTCCCCCCAAAAAGTAACGGCATAGGGCCCAGAAATTTTTTGAATTCTACGTGCTCTGTGGTGTGATCTGAGGCAGTTAGTGACCACTTAAACCAATTTTTTTTAGGAAAAGAGTTTACGCACTGCCTGGGTTCGGTTTTTTTTTGGGGGGGGGGGGGGGCCACCCCCTGCATTTGAATACGTGTGTTTTCATCAACGAAATAGTGTATCGAAAGGGAGCTTGCTGATTGCAAAACAATGGTGGTTTCTTTTTGAAAATATACATGTAAGTAGGTAAACAAATAATACGGACGGCAGAATTGTTGCAAGTGTTCTTAACATAAGGAGGTTGTCGAGGAGACAGAAAATGCAACATGAATATTTTTTTCTGTCCACATAATTTGATGGATTTTAATGCAACTTGGCTACGGTGCGTGTGCCGTTGGGAAAGGCACTTTGTCACTCATTGCTTCTCTCCACTCAGGAGTTAATGGGTACCTGTGAGGGCAGATATGGTTATTGTGATTGAATAAGCTTGCTTGCGCCTAACAGGTAGCAACGAGCTGTATACTCCCCAGCGAGCTGAGATGGTCTTTGGAATGTTTCATTGGCCTAATGAGCAGGGTGATAATGATCAGCCTTGAGTATCACTGATGGATATGTGCGCTTTATAAATAGGCATTATTATTTAGGCCCCCCCCCCAAAAAAATTTTACCTTCGGTTTCCCTACCTATCGGTTCCCTATTCTGACAGCCCCGACCCTAATTTGTTTAAATGGGAAAAATGTGGAAAAAAATACCCAAAACCATCAATTTCTACCTTTTACCCTTGACTACACACAGACGCCTCCATATGACCGTACACCAACAAAAATTAGCCCCCCCCCCCAAAATCTGTACCTACTGGTATTCTATTTTCGAATGCCTTGTCAACGGAAGCAGAATTTTTAATTTATTTTTTGGTCTCATCATTGGATGGAGTGATCCTTGGGCATCACACCTCTTTCTGAAAAATGCACAAAATTTGACTTTTTGAAGAACACAAACAAAGTGATCGACCGCCAAAAAAAGGCGACATGTGCGATCCATGGATCACCTTTTTAAAAAAATATGTACGTGGTTTCAACTTGCAGTACATAAGAGCAAAAGTAAACCAATGACCACAAATTCTCCTTATAATCTGTCAAACTTTTGCTAAAAAAAGTCAGTTGTAGAAAGTGGCCAGGAATCGCCTCAGATTGCACCTCAGAGCATCTAGAATCCAAAAGTGTTAAGAATATGTGGAACGACGTTTAAAGTGCGCTGAAAATGGAGGCTTTGACTACAAAGCATCAGTAATAATGTGCATGCAGTTGCACTGATGAATATTTAAAAAGCTTCCACAAACTTCATTCATGGTCTTTAATTTGTGCCATGACAAGACGAACAATGTTGCTTCAATTTTAAAATATTAAACGCACAGACCAGATACAAAGGGGTTTGTGGTTGGCCGTTTTTTGCCCCCCCCCCCCCCCCTTGTTCAAAATTCCTGGCTACACTTGTGATTGGCACCATGAAATAAAACAAACCAAATTTCAGATTGAAAAATATGCAAACTAATACATGTACACCTGGCACAAAAATAAACTAAGCTGTTTTTATAATCATCCTTGTTTGGACATTCCTTGGTGAACAAAAGATTCGAACTGTACGTTTTGTCACCGAAACATTCGTGTTCGATTTGATACCTCATTTGGGAACACTGTGTAAGAAATAACGAGAGCGCAAGCGCTGAAGCTCCTGAAACCCCAAAATGAAAAGTTGCACTCGGCGAGATTTTCAATGGGCATTGCAACATATGTGAATGCGGGGCCTGCATCATGGCAGTTTTGGGATTTCACGAGCTTCAGCGCTTGCGCTCTCGTTATTTCTTTCTCAGTGTTTCCAAGTGAGGTATCAAATTGAACCGGAATATTTCCGTGACAAAATATATTTCACCGAGAAATATCCAAACAAGGATGGTTCTAAAAATTGCTTAGTTTCTGTTTGTGCCAGCTGTACATGTACAGTTTACATGCACAGAATTGTTTATGTTTTAATACAAGATTTATACTGAAATTTCAAACACTCCACCCTCAAAAAAAAGAAAAATTGGGGGTGAGGCTTTAAAAACAAAATTAAATTTCAGTATAAAATTTCAACAAAATTAGTTAAAAAAGGCCTTCCCTCTCCCCCTTAAGAAGGTCTTATTAAGACTGCAATGTCACATTATGATTCAATGTTTCCACATGAGGAAACAACATCTTTTCCCGGTCAGGAAATTATTCTGCTTTATACATTGTTTCCTAAATAGGGAACTCGTTTGTTCCCTGTTCCGGAATCACATGTACCAGGACATGTAACCTACATATAATAAAATTATAGATTTGTTAAAAGGTTTAAATATATACATGTACCAGTCCCGTACATGTAGATCACAAACACAGTTGTCCTCTTCCAACACTTTTGACCCCAAAAATATCACTAAGTTGTAAAAATTAAAAAAAATAATGGGTCTGGTGAAGACGGAAATTAACAGTGTGTTATGTTGTGTCGTGAATATACATCTCATTATTTATAAAAAAGTTTTTACCAGTGCATTGGACATGGGCAGTGTCCACATGCTTGAAGTATAAAATAAACAGGAATATGTAGCCCTACATTATCCCCCCTCCCCATAGTTGTTTCATACTTCTTTAACTCAGCAGAGTAGACATACAGGAGCATCATTAATATCATTAGGAATATAGGATGTGCTTTTTTGTGTGTGAATGCACTTAAAAAGCAACATTTGTGGCTCTTAAAGTTGTTCTGTTCCCCGTGCTCTTCAGAAAAGAAAATGTGTATAAATTTACTACTTGTAAACCATATTTGGAAAGAAAGTTGCATCCTGACGGCACTTTTTTCATCGTATTATCTTCACAGTGAAGGTCGGTCATTGAAAAAAATGTTGGAAAGACATGAATCTGGGATTGAGAAATATTTCAAATTTTGTTAGAAACTATACATACTTTGAAAATGCACGCGATTCTCCATAGATTTTGTACAAAACCAAAGAAGTGGCGTTTCAATACTACAATCTTTCTGAATGTTTTATTAAAAAAAGAAATAAAAAAAAAAAACCTCCTTGTTCCTTTTTTCAACGTACTGGTATGCAACCCTCTGGTATGCAACCCTCTGGTATGCAGCCTCTGAAAAAAAGGTGTTTTTTGGGGGGCACAAACAGATTAGCTTTGCGAGCAGACTGGCTCCCGGTCTGTACATTATCGATGCTAATTGTGGGGCAGGAACCAGCCTACAGTACCTGGAAAGACCCAGCACAAGCCTAAAGCACTGCCAATATCAGAGGGAAAATAGTCAAATATGTTTCTAATATTAAATGTTTGAAAGATCTCATCTTCCTGAGTTTTTGAATGAGTAATTTCTTACCTGTGTCAAAAAATCCAAGTCCAAATTTTTGTTTTTAATTTGAAAAATAAAGACAATGACTGGATCAGGGTTTGAACCTGTGACCTCCAGATTGCCGTTCCAGTGCTCTACCAACTGAGCTATCCAGCCCTATGCTGTCTGTACCCCATTTTGTCAGTGTGTTTGTTCACGGGGCACTACTTACAAGCTAGAAACCCATATGCCATGTAGTCAGGGATCATGCCCAAAGTCACAATGCTAACAACATACATGTAAGCAATGTGTAAACCCGGGAAATAGCAAATAGGGATCACTCAGAGAGGATACAGCTTTTTGTTACAAATTTTCAAATACACCACAAAGGGAAACTGACTAGAAGCAAAATTGTATTATTTTCTCAATTCATCTTTGGAGTGTGAGTCATTCTGATTAATTGTGTTGTGGTATTGTTGACAGTGTTTTACGCTGCACCAAGCATGGATGGAAGTTGGACGCCAAGACGATGCGATACGTGAACCCACCTGACAGCTTCAGCCAGGAACAGCTAGGTATGTTGGTTTTGAAATATAGATATTTTTGTCATTCATGTGGCACTATTCTTTGCACAAGCATTTAGGACATTTCTAACTGTTTCCATATATTTTAAGTATTCATGTGATGATTCAAACTTAAACTTTGTTTAAGATAAAGAACAAACTGTTGTAATTTTTTATTCTTGTTTTTATTTCAATTTTAATAACAATTTTAATGAAAATCTCGTAAGAAATCTCTCCTTCTTCTCCAACTTCGAAAAAATATCACTTTGAAGGCATATTATATATGTATAGGAAAATTTGCTTTTCATGTTTTTGTTTTCATTTCCAATAACAACATCACTCAAAATCCAAAGATGAATTTTCAAAACTTAACCTGTCGCAATTTCAGCTTTGTGGATATTACACTTTTTGAGGAAAATGGGGAAAAACAATGCACAACCCTTGGATCACAAAACACGAGTTCGTCAACAGAACTCTTTCTTTCCAAAGATCAGTCAATTGACTGATTGTTTGAAATCACCTACATTTCTTGATTTCTACTAAATGACAGCAAGCCAGACAGAATAATTTCATGGGGTGTTTAGTAACAGTAAGATCTTTAATCCAAACAAGCTTTTTGATAATAAGGCCGTGTCCGAAACGGACTTCCAAAGCTACGGCTACGTCTATTGTCAGCGCGCCCCAGCGTATTTTCAATGGGCGCGGACCTAGACCTAGCTCTAGACAGTTGATTCGGATGCAGCCTAATTCGCAAGGCTACTTTTTGGGTAAATGCAAATTATCCTATGTGCCTTTAACACAAGTGTTTTAGGTAACCAGACTATTTCTATAATTGAGCATCAATCTGTATTTTTTTTCACCCACTTCTCCAAAGTTCCTGAGTTGAATGATGATGGCAGCCTGAGCATAGTAGAATTGAAGCCACCCCAGCCATGGGAGACGGACAAGAGACCGCCTGCGCCGCTCCGAGTAGGAGAAGTCCAGGTCAGTCAGCCATAGTCAGTAGTTTTTAATTAAATTGCTTTTTTTTATCTCATTTGTGTCCCCCTGGCTTTAGCCACGAAAGGGGGATCTTGCGATAGTGTATTCCTTCTGTCCTCGTGCGTTTTTTTATGGTGTACATGTACATCGAGGACACACAGGTGCAACATTATTTGTGAATCGGGTGTACATTTGTGTTCCTTTTTGGCTAGATTAACTGTTTAGTGCTGTCATGTGAAAAGTACGAGCAAAGGAAAAGGGAAGAGGAACAAAAGAAAATGATTTACACATAATAAACAAACGTGGGTGTACATTTGTGTTTCTTTTTGGCTAGTGTTTAGTGCTGTCATATGAAAAGTCAGACTTCAACCGAACTTGGTGACAATAATCTTTGGGTAGGGGGACTTCAAATGACTTCAGACATTTGAGGTCAAAGGTCATCTAGGGGTCAAATGAGGTCATTGTTGTTTTTGGTTAGGTACACTGAAAAGTGTGCTTACTAACTGACTGTATAAATACTGCCAGCATGCCAGGAGAATCGCGCAAGTTTAACTTGCAGTATTTGTTTTTAGTTAATACACATTTACACGTTGTACATGTTTTTACTGTTGAGTCGTTAGGCCCTTCTTGTGTAAATGCACTTGTTTTTCATAATAGTCAGTTATAAGCTAATGTATGCCATAAATGCATTGGTTGTAATTTTATGAAACAGACCGATTTAAGGGCTAGTAATGAGACATCTTTCCAGTGACCGGTTCACTGTTTGTGTCCATTGATGCCGGAGAAAACACGAAAAAATGCTGAATTTTATTTTCAACCGTCAAAGTGCAGCAAGCTGAATCTGTCGTGCACAGAACCAATAAGTCACAGGGCATGCTTGAGTGCTGGTAGTGTTGCGGGAAAAAATTACAAACACGTACCTAGCGTAACTGAACGTACACACAGTCAGTAGCTGGCTTGCGCCTGTTAACATTTGTAGTATTCGAAAAGTCCTTCTACTTTTGTCCACAGTTATGGTTCAGTCCAAACCATCTTTATTACTTATGATATAAAATTCCTCTTTTCTTGATAATGACAGCGTGCCAGGGGCTACATATTCACAGGATACTTGGTACACCGACCTGCCAACTAGTATGTTTTTGCCGAATTTCGTACAGAAATTTGTTGAAAATACAATTGAACGTTTTCCCCCCCATTAAGAAAGGGTTTTGACCATTTTCACACTCCCGAAAAAAATCCTATTTCAGAGCGGCTGCGAGTGTAGATTATACTTGATACAAAACGGCTGATTCAACGTACACACATGCACGTACTCTTAATCTTATGAACGATGTACACAAACTGAATCTGGCTTTGCGATTCCCACTGTACGATATACAATCTATCTCCACGGTATTACAAACTAGCACCAGTCCAGATCCAGTGTGTGCCGATACTTTAAGCAGCCACACCCTCGCCGCAGAAATAAATGTCTGTATTCGTACACACACATACCAGCAGGAGTATGCACGTGCACGTACGTGTACATATGCGTAAGCCGGAGGGGGACATTGCGATAGCGTATTCCTTCTGTGTGTCAACATCTGTGCGTTTGTTTATGGTGTAATTCGAGGACACACACGTGCAACATCATGGGTGAATACCCCCTCAACAGTAAGAAAGGGAGAGTTGCGGGAGACCACTGGGAAGGACATTCAAACACAATGCCGATGATGCGTGATGCTCACGCCAAGACGCTTTAGATGGCTCTGTGCATTCTCAGAATAAAATTAGTCGTGCGTAATGTGCTATACACGCGCCAATCAGTATGCGTGCAGACTGTGTTCCGTCCGCGGGGCTTTTCAAAGTGGTACAAAAAATGAGTACATGACAATAAGGCCAAAAAAACAAAACTCGGTCTCTGGTCAGCGCGTGCGTCGATTTTAATCATGCGCGTCAACCTTTTTTTTTTTTCAAATTGACACGAAAGCTACAACAGCGCCCTCTATTGCCGCACCTCCTCAAATTTTTGAACCAAGGAGCACCAAGGAATGGGGAAGTTGCACCAAGGCAAATGATAAAGGGCACCAAGGCAAATTATGGAGGACACCAATGTATAATGAGGACACAAAAAAGCAAAATAGTACCCACCTTGTCTGTACAATTCAAGCTTGAAAAAAAAAAAAAAAGCCACCAAAAAACCAAAAAAAAAAACCTCGCCGCATCAATTCCGGAACTTCGATTATTTATTTTTTGTGTGGCCTAATCACGGTTTATTAATAAAATATTGTATCCTGTTGCAACAGAGTAATTCAGCGCAACTGTCTGAATTGCTGGAAAATCACTTTCTGGCTCCAGTAATGAAAGTACCGTGCCTGCTGTTCCCAAATTCTTGACATATTACACGTGTATGCACAATACAGAAGCGCACAAATTGTATTGCAGTTCACCTCATAGAGGGATGACATTGCACCGGGTGTTTCACCATATCATTGCATCGCTGTTCAAAGTGTAAAAGTCTATGCATTCATAACTAAAGATTAAGATTAGATTTTGAAGTGTTTACCATTTGGTGGTTTTAGATGTTTGGATTATTTGTAAAAGCAAACACACTTACATGCATTTCACAAATTATCCAACTTGTGTACATATTTGATATTTGTTAATATCCTTGATAAAGTTGTATGATAACCCAAATACTATTTAATAACCCTCCTATGCAAACATTCATGTACAATCTATGCCAAGTTGACCTTACATTCAAAATTAATCAGGCGACTGTTTTGAACAGTTACAATGTAAGAATTCCCAGCCCACATAAAGCAGGATTGACTGGCTGGGACTGTTTAAGTAACTGATACAGCTGTGCTTTGACTCCCGGTGAGTGATAAAGCAGCTGTAGCACAACTTGCCTGACCCAGTTTGACTAGTCGCAGTGCTTGCATCACATATGATCTGACCGCTGGTGACTAGCCTTTGTTAAAAGTATAGCAGGGGAAGTGAAAGTGAATTTTGACTGTCTGTGACTGTTTAAGTACCAGGAGGGTTAACAATTGTTAACTGTTGTGATGTTTTAAACACTTGAGGGGAGCACAGCACATGAGGTGTTTTTATAGACCAGACACGTGGCCGTTCTAGACCAATAAAATTGCAGTATTCAAGCACACGATTATAACAAACTAATTTTTCCTTAATATTTTTAGATATTTTCAAATTATGTTATGGTACCGGTACATGCACATGTACCGGTAGCTTACTTAAAAAAATAAATGAAAATAAAATAAACAATTTGATCAATAATTTTTTTCAAAGCTGCAAGTGTGTGCATTATCGAGGAATTAAAAAGAGACGGGTATTTTAAAATATATTTGATACGCATAAACTTTTTAATATATATGTATTGAGAGTCCAGATTGTTTACAAAACTATGATTTGCCTTTATGCTATGAAAAAAAATTCTGAAAATATAAACATTGAACATGATATAAACTGCACTGTACTTTATTTGTCCCTATTTGACCTGTTACCATGGTAACATTGCAGTTTCATAGTCCCCAGATTCTTTAAGGTTTGCCTCTCTGTAAAATATATTTTGCCAGTGCGTTCTTCTTTACCTGTTTGCTATGTTAAGTATATGGTGTGTTTACGGTAACATGTACCTGGATTTTTTGGCGGGCAAATTGCTGACTTCAAACTTTTGATGGCCAAAATATAAAATGAGGTATATTTTGAAAATAAAAAAGTCTTTCCTGCTAAATTTTGTGTTTGTTTTTGTAAGTTAAACAATTAAAATAAAGTATATTTTGAAAGTAAAAAAGTCCTCCCCACTAAATTTTTGTTCATAAAACAATAGGTTAAAACAATAACATGAAAAAGGTACCCAAAATAAACAAAAAAGACAGACTGACAAAAATTTAAAAATTGCAAAATAATTGTTTTCTTACCTACTTTGATAATGCTTTAGGGCATTACCGTAGACACACAGTTTTAAAGGGAATGCACAACATATGCTTTTGCTGCAGTTTTCAGAAGTAAAGGAATTTGAGAGGACTAGTATGTTATAGCAAATATTGTTAAACTGACTTTTTCACGTTTTGGGCTTGTAGATGCTGGAAAAACCAAGAAAACCAATCATGTTCTTGTAGTCTGGTTCCCTGACCCCTCTTAAGATGAAACGGAGCAAGTTATAGACTTTGGGATTGTAAGGTCACAGAATCAGGTCGGTAGCTGGCTTGTAGCCCTTCACAGGTGTGTAATCCACTGCAAAGAAAATGCGAAATAACTAAGTATAAAAAACTAGGAGCAATGTTAGAAACAAAGCCAGTTTTCACCAACGCTGGTCGGCTGACCAGCTTTGGAAAAATACAATTTTTCTTGAAAATGTCAGCACACCAGGAGCCACGATTTTACGGGATGCTTCAGACTGTGATTCCCTTACAATCAAGTAAGGTATTTTCTGATAATTTGATCATTTCATTTTTTGATGTTTGCAAATGTATATCTTCCCTTTAACACAGTTATTTTTAAATTTCCGGCCTGATCAAAAATGCTGTAATTGTTGTTGGAAACAGAAAAGCACACCTTGTCATTAGCAGGTGCCTCAAAAATGCTATGAATAGACTATTTATCTCACAGATGGCTAATAGACAAAGTGACAGGAATTAGAAAGGTTGGTTCATTGCATGAGGTTGATGCTTCAAATTACATTGAAAGGATGAATAATAAACATATTAAGTTGTCATCTGGAGTAAAGTACCTTGTGTTTTGTATAAAACTTCACCCTCGCACTACCGACTACAGTGTACATGTACGTTGCTTTGCACTCTTGATTACAGTGAGATAAAAAAAAGTCACATGTACACGAACAAATTACAGCTTGCATACACATGTGTACCATTTTGTTCATAACCAAATTATTACAATGTCCCTCATCTTTTAGCAGCACGCTTGAATTGTACAAATTTCAATTGCATAAATTACTTCTTCCAGGACAGCAATCACTGATATTGGAAAATGGAAATAGA